GGTTTTGTTGGTAGTGGTGGGGTATTTTGTTTTTGTTTTTAATGCAACTGTTTTACCAAGGCTGTCAGAGCTTTTGAACTGCCAGGTTAGAAACCAGCTCTGGCTCAGTTAAACAAAATCCTAAAAGGGATGTATGGGCAGGATGTCCTGGGGAACACACTGAAGTTTGAGTTCACACCCAGAGCTGCTCCCCAACTTTTTGTGTCTCTTGGCCACCGAAGGCAAGGCGTCTTGACTGAGGCAAACCCCTGGGCCCTGATGGCTGGTGGTTGGTAGGGAAGGAGCTGCAGGAAGACATGGGGGCTCATTAGGACAGCCTGAGCTGCTCAGGGGAGCCTAGGACCCCTGCAGAGGGGTATAGGCCATGCAGGGGCTGCCCAGCAGTAGACACTGGGGAGCAGGAGGAGCAGGCACAAGGTCTGAGCTTTCCCCTTTTAGCCCCCCAAGCTGGACTCAGCAGTGTACCTAAGATGGCATCTGCCTTGCCGATGCAGCGCTCTTGTCCCTACTGCGGGAACCACATCCTCACAGTGACCACCCCAGTCCCAGGGGCCCTCTCCTGGCTGCTGTGTACAGGCCTCTTTATGTTTGGGTAAGTGGGGGCCCTGACCATTGGCTGGGGAGGGCCTCCAGGGTGGGGAGGAGGCCCAGCAGAGGGGGCTGGGCAGGACCAAGGATGGGGGTGTGCAGCCTTGACTTGGCCCTGGGGTGAGCCCAGAGCCCCCCGGCCTGGACCCCAGCCCATGGCCCACTGCTCCCGAGGCTGCAGGTGTGTCCTGGGTTGCTGTCTCCTCCCTTTCTACATGGACAGATTCATGGATGTGAAGCATACATGCCCCGTGTGCGGGCACGAACTCTTCCGCTACCGTCGCCTGGGAACCTCGGCAAAATAAATGTGTATTAAGAGACATTTACCTGCCCATGTCTGTCCTACCAGGGTTCCCCCAATGCAAGCCCTGTCAGGGGGGTATGAAGGGACTGATGCAGTAGCCACTTGTCCTTCCCTGTCCTCCTGTGCCCATGCAAGGCCAGGTTGGCTCTCAGACCCGTGTCTGCAGAGTAGATGCTCAGTTAGCCCCAGGTGAGTGAATTATGCCCAGCCCTTTCTTCTCAGGGCCCATGCTCTTCTGACCCCTTAAAAACCACAATTTACTGACCAGCTCAAGCTTCTACATCCCTTTGTCCGTGTCTCTCTGAACTCCAGCCGGGGGGGGGGCTGAACCTCCTGTCATCTCTTGCTACATCCTTACCTGCCACTCACTCTGGGACCCACACCCAGGCCCACACCTGACCCCCTGCCCTGCTCTGCCCGCTTGGACCAGTGACTTCCTGTTGCTAAACCCAACATCCACCAGACACTTCCCCCTTGCCTACCTGCCTGGCCTCTCTGCAGCGCCTGATCCTCACTCTGCTGTCTAGCTGTACAGCAGCAGTTCCCAGCCACCAGCTGTGTGCTCCGCCATGACACCCTGTCCTGCTGATGCCCCACATGGTTCTGTCTTACGTCTCTTCTCACATTACCTCTGAGGCTTCCATCCTTACCTGCATCTCACAATCCTCCCCTTGGATGCCTAGGGGTCCTGCAAACCCAACAGGTCAAATGAAAAGTCACCTTGGCAGATAATACC